CTTAGATGATGCTCGTGGTTTATTTTCAATGGTGTAGTTATCTAACCAGGGAGCAGGTAGTTTTATTCTATTTTTCGTTCTAGCACCACGAGCCTGCACACTTGCTTTTTTTATCCCTGGCTTTACAACCTGCATATCAATATGAAAAAGAAAGCTATATGAGGACTCGATTGCTTGATTTATAAAGATTGAGGACATACTTATAATTTACTCCAAAAAAAGTAAGCAATTACCGTCCCATCTTCTCCATTCTTCATGGCAATAATCTCATTCTTCATCCCATGGTATTTTATGGAAGGAGAAGCTGCATCAAGCACAAGGTTTGTAATCGTAGAGTCTTGTTGGAGCAAAGGATTAGGAGGAGTTGCATCAATTTTTGTATTGATTGCTATTCCACAAGGGTTGCCTTGTTTCACTAAATGAGAATTGGCAAGAGTTGGAGTTGGATTTGCATCATCACCTACACAAGATTTTGCCTTGGCAAGATCTCCTTGCATACAAGGAGTAGCAAGAGTTGCATTGATAGCACACTTTGTAGTTGTAGGGGTCACATAGTCTTGTTGGAGCAAAGGGTTAGGAGGAGTTGCATTCATTTCAGTATCGTTTGTTTTTCTAGAAGGGTTGCCTTGTTTCACTGAAGGAATAATAACAGGAGTTCGAGTTGCAACAAAATCTTCTTGCCTACAAGAAGTGGGAAGAGTTGCACTGATTGCAAACTTTGTGGTTGTAAGAGTCACAGGGTCTTGTTTGAGCAAAAGATTAGGAGGAGTTGCATCCACTTCAATATTGTTTGCTATTGCAGCTAAGTTGCCTTGCTCCACTAGAGGAATGGCTGGAATTGGAGTTGCATTTGCAACATCTTGTGGCATACAAGATGCAACTTGGGTTGCATTGATTGAATATTTTTCAGACTGAGAGTCTTGTTGTGTTGAAGGAGCAAGAGATGGTGTTTCTAGTGTTGCTTTGCATTCTTGGTATATTGCCTTCAATGGTTTAGAAAGATATAGTTAGACAATTACATTTGTAAAAGATAGATTTAAAAACCAATGTGAGAGATGAGATTGAGAAAAAAAAATGCTGTTAATTTTGATTATGAAAATAGGTTTATTGAAAACTAACCTCGTAGTTCCTAATTCTAGTAATGTTTTCAAAAGACATTTCAAAATCATGGGCTTGTGCAATTGGTGCGAAATTGAAACCCAACCAATTAGTTCCTTCCTCTTGAGTAGGTTTGTGGAGTGACATTTCTCCCTGCATTAACAAAGAGGATGTTGAGTTATTATTTATAGTACTCTTAACTTTAGCAATATTCCCAAAAGCATGTGGAATTAAGAAAGTGAAGAGGGAAAGTACTAAATCAATTCAAGCTAACATTTAGATGAATAATTTTAGTAAGAACTTCCTCTTCATTAATATTATAATTAGTAGTTGATCAAAAAGAAGATATACATATATATATATGTGTTTTGTATACTTATCTGCCTTGCCTCCTCCTAAAGATTAAGAGAAAAATTATTTTAAAATTACGCAATTTTAATAAAATAGTATAGGGAAAGATAAAAAACATTATAATTCATGCTTTAAAAATAAGGTATTTAATATGTTTCAATGGAGATTTATTGAAACGACGTAGTTTTGGGATGATTTTCCACTTAATCTTTAAGAGGTAAGACAGATAAATATTATTCCCTTTTTTGTATGTGATCAAATAGAACATATATTTTAAAGGTATTGCATGTGTTTGCAAATATCTATCTTATTAGTGAGATAATAAATTTAAAAGTATATAGTACTTAGACTTGAATAAGGACATATAATATCATTATAAGTTTGTATTTTCCTTATTTTCTACAAATGGAAGTGAGATACATAGTAGAAATTAGTAAAATACAAAATGAAGTGGAAATATCTCATTAGATTATAAGTATATATTCAAATCTAAGTATACAGTTATGTCATTAAAACTGTTATGTTGTTAAAAGCATTATCTCACTTGATTAATTATAAATATATTCATTAACACTGTTATCCTATCATCTTCAATAAGGCATTCATCAACATGTATATTGATTATTATACATTTATTGGTGGGGATATTTTGTGAAAGCTCTAATACTATTAGATGCAAAAAAAAAAAAAAAAGCGCATGAACATGCTAAAGTAGGAATTGAGAATACAAAATTATAAAATTTAAAGGATGATACTAAAATGTCAAATATTTGGCTAAAATATCAAAATTCTCATATCCAAAACATCATTAGAAAACATAATGAACATTATAGAATGGAAGCTGATTTTGAAGCAAAAAAAAATTAAAGGCCCCAAATGCAAGTTGAACATGTTTTTAGTGTTGATCATATAAACAATTCCAGGAGGGGCGCTTGATATGATCAAAATTAAAGGTCGGAAAATTTTAATTTGGCCTTGGTTTCGACCTAAAAATCATTTTGCTTGTATAATTAAAATTGAATAACAACATATTTTCTTTATTTTCGCTAGATCTACCTATAATTAGACAAAAACACATATTCAAAACTAGTAGATAAATGAACTAAACTTGAATTTATATCATATATTTAATTCATATCTACTAATAATATATAGAGAGAGATTAATCTACTAATAATATATATAGAGAGAGATTAATATATATTAGTCCCGACTCCTTAAAAAAATTGGAGTCATAAATTATATTTAAAAATTAAAATCTCAATTCAAAATTCAAAAATCCAATTAAGTTTCTAAATTTAAATATTAATACTTAATAAGATAAATTTTTAAATTTAAATGGGGTTTTAATTAAATAAAAGTGGGTATCAATGGTTATTTTTAAAAAATTGGGTGGAAAAATATCCAAAATTATGTTATTTTAATAAGGTTCTATTGAAAGATATTGAAACATTTTAATTTTTGAAGTAGGAATGAGGTTGTTTTTGGTTTTTTCTCATGGTACTTTATTTGCCTAATTTTTTTATAGATTCAACTAATAAATATTAATCTAAATATCGTTATAATTTGAAAGATTTAAGTTTAATTATCTACAACAAAGATCTAATTAATTAGTTTACCTCCTTGATAAATCTTGCTGCATCTGCTAGCAATTCCAAATTCAATTGATCTCTTGCATAATTTGGGGTTATCCCATGTAATTCATATAAAGCAACTTCAATATGAGGTCGACGCTTAAAATTTAATGTATTGTGGCAACAGCACTGCAATACCAAATGTTAATTTTAATATATATGATTAAAAAACCTAGTATATTGTTATAACGTCTCATACCACTTACTAATTTAAACTCAACACCATGAGAAAGTTCAACAATAGTATGAATAAAGATTTATAAATGGTAGATATTTGCCATATTTGTCACCTTAGATGCTTGAGGTATATTTTCAAGGCTGTAGTTATCCAACAAGGGAGCTACCAATTTTAATCTCTTTTTCTTTCTAGCACCAGGAGCCCGCACATCAGCTTTTTCTATCCCCTGCTTTACAACCTGCGTAGAAATATGAAAAAAAAAAAAAGATATATAAGTGACTTAATTGCTTGTTTTATAAAGACTGAGGACATACTTATAATTTACTCAAAAAAAAAAAAAAAGAAAAAAGAAGTAAACAATTTACCATCCCGTTTTCTCTATTATTCATGTCTATAGTCTCATTCATGCCATGGTATTTTATGGAGAGCTAGAGGAGCTGCATCAAGCACAAGGTGTGGCAGTGCAGAGTCTTGTCGAAGCAAAGGATTAGGAGGAGTTGCATTCATTTCAGTATTGTTTGCTATCCAAAAGGGTTGTCTTGTTTCACCAATGGAGTAATTGTAGGTGTTGAAGTTGCATTCATTTCAGTATTGTTTGCTGTTCCGGAGTGGTTGCCTTGTTTCACCAAAGATGTAATGGCAAGAGTTGGAGTTGGAGTTGGAGTTGCATCATCACCTACACAAGATTTTGCCTTATTTCGTCAAAGGAATAATTACAGGAGTTGATCAGATAAACAATTCAAGAATGGGCGTCTGATATGATCAAAATTAATGGTGCAAAATTTTAGCCTTGGTTTTGACCAAAAAACCAATATCCTTATACATATAATTAAAATTGAATACCAATGAATTTTCTCTATTTTCACTAGATCTACATATTTTCACTAGATCTACATAATTAGACTAAAACACATATTCCAAAACTAGTACATAAATGAACTAAATCTGAATTTATATCATATAGATTCATATCTACTATTGATATATAAAAGAAAAAAATTTTGAATTAAATTCGAAAGATCTTTTTTTGAACAAAACAATATCTTCATGGCTTATATCTATTCACAGAAGAAATGATCTCTTCATGGATAATTTTCAAAACTTACATTTTTTTTTTTTTTAGATTCAAAAATATATACTTCGATGGGGTAATTTAATGATTAAGAATTTGAAATTATAAGTTAGAGATTTCACTTGAGATTTCAAATTCGAATCTTAAATCGGGTGAGAAGGGATTTAGGGAACCCCTCTTGTATAATCCATCATTATCAGATGTACCAAAAAATATATATATGTAAAATAAAATGAGAAAAAGAAAGGTAGGCATAATTTGATTACCTCATGTTTTTCTTCTGATCTAAGCTTGTCAGTAAACAAAACATCCTTTATTCAATCAAGATTAGATTTCTTCACTAGCGAATGAAAATTTGTTTGTTTTTTAGGAGAAAATTAGAGATGAAGAAGAGAAAAGAAAGAAGAGATGTAGCAAGGTTAAGGAGAGACAAGAAGAAAGGAGAGAGATTTTCTGAATTTGAGTGAGATTAGGTTAGAGAAAAAGGAGTTACTTATATAGTGAGGGTTGAGGATAGAGACAAGGAATCACACAGATAATTTTTCCATTTCAGTCATGCAAAAAGGAGTAATTACGTTACACTTCGCCAACTTATTTTTTGAAAGGTTTAATACTCTTTTTGGTCCCTCAACTCTATTCGGCACTTTTTTAATTCCTCAACTCCAAATTTTCGCACCAAACTTGTCCCTCCATCAATTGCCGTCAACTCCCATTCAAGTCTCGTCTATTCCCATCCAACTTTGGTTGTTAAACTCTCCATCAACTTCCTTGTTGTAAAATTTTAATGACATGGTGATTATACATAGGAAAAGAAAGCTTAGTTGGACAATAGAAAAGCTGACATGGACTAGGGAATCTTGTCAATAAGAGGTATCGACACTTTCAAAATAGTGTTGACACTAAGTCCATGTTGAACTTTATAAGCTTGACACTGCATTTTCCTTCAAAAAGAAAGAAAAATGATGTGTGCACACCCAGATCCAACACCCGGGTGTGCACACATCATATAAAAAAAAAAAATTGCCCATCACCCGATCCATTCTTTTTTTTTTTATGTGGGGGGTGCACACCCGGCTGTTGGATCCGAGTGCACACCCGGCTGTTGGATCCGAGTGCGCACCAATCATTGTCCAAAAGAAAATAAAAAAAAAGGAACATTTGGCAAGATATAGCAAAAATATTGGAGAATAATAACTAATAGTATTAAATTATACAAAATAATTTAATAGTCTATTTCATATTATAAAATAATTAAATAGTCATGACATAACATGTTTAATATTCTACTTAAAACATTACATGAGTTAAAAAATATTACATAATTATCATAATCACACATAATTTCCTAATAAAATCATGCACAATAGATATAAACTGTGTCCAAAAATACGAATTATATAGCAATTATATGTCCAAGAAACAAGAGAATACTATTTAAATCATTTCTCCCCATTTGACCATCCAACATTTCTAGTATTTGTTTTGTGAGTGACAGTCAACAACTCTCGCTGACTAAGAGCTCCCTTCTTTGAATGTTTTCCTCCCTTTTTCTTTCATTCTCTTGTACTTGCAATTGGGTAGCTGTGACAAACTGTCTTCTACTTATTGATGCTGTAGTTAGTGGTACTGGAGATGTTGTTGGAGCAACACTTGGTATTTGAATAGCCTGATTCTGCTTTGATTTGGTTTTCACATTTGATTTGATTTGATTTGGGAGTTAGACTGAAGAGAGCTTTTGAGTAGGCTACTCTGAGGTGGGTGGAATAATATTAGAGGTAATATTTACTCTACTCCCATCAACCTATGTATGTAGAAAATATTTTTAAGTATGAGACAAAAATTGAATTACTATAAATAATTATACTTAATCTAATTAATAAAAATTGACATTACATCATGGAATGCTTCAATCTCTTTTCTTCCTCTCTTGTTTGACTTACCAGCCTTTGAACTCTCTAACACCCTATGTAGAATATGCCTTAATTAGAGTTAGCATTAGACAAACAAGGAAACCAAATAACAGATCCATTACCTGCTAGACAATCCTCTTAGCTATTTCTTTATTGCTTTTATTTTTCTCACCTGTTGTGATACTCTGAACAGGTTTTGGGGTTAAATTCTCAACCTGACTCACTGGGGAAGCATCTTGACTATTGGTGCCAACTACATCTTCAATGATAGGTGTGGAGTTGGCATTCACATTTTCACTTTGTTGTTGCGTTTGCGGTTCCTCATTTTGAGTCACCTACAAATAAAAACATAGCCATAGTTCATTTCATATATCCATATAAGTTCAAAATTATGCATCTAAGAGTAATCAAGATTCACGTACATTAGGAGGCAGTCCTTTACATGACTAGGAATTATGTCCTTTTTTTAAAGCATCTTTTTTCTTTGCTCTTAAAACTTCTGAAATCTCCCTAATAGACTCATCATCACAAACAAGAATCAACCCATCACTAATTGTTTTTCCTGGCTCCAAATACCATATTTGATAAATCATATTAGGATAATACCTAGTTGTACCAATCTTAATGAACAACTTAGACATAGTTAAATTTCCAATCCCAACACTCACCACCAACTAATGTACTGCATCCCTCTGATATTGTCCAAAAGAAATCTACCCCCACATGCATGTAAAATTGGAAGCCTATATTCTCTAACAAATTGTCATCCTACATAATACAACAACAATATAAAATATATCTTAATCTACATCACAATAAAAACAAATAGGAATTCAACCACCACCAATCAAAATTTAAATATTTAATAGAAAAAATAAATCATCATTCATAAAGGTAATGAGACAAAATGCAAAAATCCATTATATGTGAAGACCTATATTCTTTTTCCCTCTATTGTCATGTATCTCAAGACAAAACTACCTGAGGGAAAATCTCACTAGAAAAAGTCCCACCATTCAAAGACCACAATCATAAAAATCAAAACCCTAAAAAAAATCTAAAACATATACCTCATATTCAATAATGTTCATGCTCCACTCATGCTTGAGATCTATGACATTCTTGTAATTGGAGTCCATAAGACATGCATTACGTAGATAAAAGATCTAAAAATTTAGACAATTTCTTTCAAAGTCTAGGATTTACCCAAAAGAAAGTGTAAAGATATCAAGGATTTTGTTTTTGTTTTTTTTTTTTTTTCCTTTTTTCTTGTACTCTACGATGGATGCTCAAATTTAAATAAAAGCTTTGAATGGGTGGGAAGTGAGGTGGGGTAAATTTTGTCCAGCGAAGCATATTTTGTATAAGTGTAATTGCCATGTAGGAAGATTGAAGTAACCCGTTAGTTTAACAAGCGGAGTTGGATAGGAGTAGACGAGAGTTAGATGGGGGTAGACGAGAGTTAACAGAAGGACAAGTTTGGTGTAGAATTTTGGAGCTAAGAGACTAAAGAAGTGCAAAATGGAGTTGAGGGATAAAATCGGTGCAAAACACTCAACTTGAAGGACTAAAAAGGGAATTAAGCCTTCTTGAAATAATTTTAAATTAATTATACACTTCTTTTTCGATTTCCATTTTTCATAATGTCCTTTTTTGACAAAAAATTATTCCTTTTTAGTACATAAAATTAGTCATAACAGTTGATTATAGATCTATAGTGGTTTTTTTTTAGCAAAACATGCAGATAACCCCCTTAACTCATCTACTAGTGGCAAATCACCCCCTCAACCCACTTTACGCGCAGACCACCCCCTCAACTCACGTGTAGTGGCAAATCACCCCTTCGTTAAGGCCGGCACCATCCTTCCGTTAGCTTTTAAAATTCATTATTCTCACTCGATTCCATCCTCCTTCCTTCCCTCCTCTATATACCCCTCTCGTTCCAGCTCTCCCACATCTTCATACTGTCAGCCAGGAACCAGTAACTACTCTCTTCTTCTGTCTCCAAACAACAATTCAACACCCAAATTCAATTGATTAAGAGTGGAAATTTCAGATGAGGACCGTCTTCTCTAAGTCACCGTCGCCGGCGAGGTCCACTCCACCACCTTCGCCGGTCTGCCAGACTTTTTCAGAGTCCCTAACGGACGAGGACATCGAGGTGGCTCAGTCGATAATTACTAAATGGGACTCTTCGGACTCCTCCTCCTACTGCAACATTGCCTACCTCTTTTCCTCAGAGAACTGCCACAAAGTAAAACAATATCTCAATTCCATCAAGCACCTCCAACGCGCTATGCAGTACTTCGTCTCCGAGAATCCGGTGGTGGGGAAACTAGTCCGGGCTCAGAACCTGATGGAAAACGCCATGAAACGGCTCCAGAAAGAGTTTTACCAGATTCTCAAGTCAAACATGGATCACCTTGATTCGGAGTCTGTCTCCAGCCATTCCTCCAGAGCTTCTCCCTCGAGATCGAGCTTCTGGGATTTCAAAGACGAGTCTGACTACGAGTCGATGCGCGAGAACGAGACGATTTCTGAAATGGAGAGAGCTTCAACGATGTTAACAGAGGGGACTATTAAAAGCTAACGGAAGGATGGTGCCGGCGTTAACAAAGGGGGTGATTTGCCACTGTAGGTGAGTTGAAGGGGTGGTCTGCGCGTGAAGTGGGTTGAGGGGGTGATTTGCCACCAGTGGGTGAGTTAAGGGGGTGATCTGCATGTTTTGCCTTTTTTTTTTTTAGTAAAAATTATACATATAGAAAAGTGAAATGTAGTTTGTGTAAGATAAGACTGTACTACAGCATTCTCTTATACATTTAAAAATCTAATCAAATTTAAGTTGGCCAAATTGCCTTCTTAGGCAATAGAAATCTACACCTCCTCTTAGAAATAATGGTCTTGAATTCCGGTTATGTACATGTATCAAAGATAAGAGCGAAATGTAAAAGAATTGCCTTCCTTTTTTGCTTCCAACTTACCAATAAAAGGGAGCCATACGTTTGACTGTGTATCCATTTGGTATGGTAGTTTTGGGGTAATAATTAGTGATTTATCTAAATCATTAAGAATAAGTATTTGGTACACTTATTTATTTTAAAATTACTACAAACTAAATATTTAATAAAAACTTTTATTTAACGATTTAGGACTAATAGTTAGAATTTAAACCACTAGTAGATTAAAATTTTTTAATTCTAGTGACAAATTTATCTTTTTTAATTTTTTAATTTTTTGCCACA